TCTACTTTGATAAAATATTGTAAACAAACCCCAGTCACATGTTTCACCCCTATATCAGTATCCATGTCTCTAAAAATGAAGACAGAATCATATATAACAAAGTTAAAAATTAAACCCAACAAAATCAAACAATAGCTGTATAGACTCCTCTCAGTCACTAATAACTGTTTCCAGTTTTTCAAGAAAATCTTGTATTTAATCTACTCACAATGGGATCCAAAAAGGGTCTAGAATTAAAATTAAAAAAAAAAATTTTTTTCACAAGCTCCTTCTTTTTTTTTTTTTTTTTTTGGTTTCCTAGTCTGCAGTGCTGAAATAAATATTTTCATGGTTGGATTATTAATTTATATTCCAAGAAATTTACACTGTCAAGTGGACATATTTTGCACATTCACACAGCTATGCAACCATCACTCTGTGGAACTCCGGAACTTCTATCCCATCAGAGAGAAACCCAGCGCCGGCAGCAGCTGCTCCTCCTGGGCTGTGGCAATGACTGACATGCGTTCTGCTCTACAGGCCCTTCTGCTCTGGATACTTCATACAAACAGCATCACAATCACAAAACTTGATTGCCCATCAGGTAGACATGCCAGACAGACCCATATACATGTGACATGATTCATACATAGGACGATTAAGGTGAGCATCCATACAGAATGGATGGCAGAAGCTTTCAGCTCTTGTCCCTCTCGTCCTTCACACACAGGACAAGTGACAATCACACATGAGATGAGTTCATGGGTTATACGTATGTACACGAAGACATTTCTGTCGGCCACAATTTACACAATGAAGAATAATTAACCAACACTGGCTATTGATCACAGCACCCACAGTGTGACGACGCTCAATGTCAAGCCACAACTGCCTGCTTTCTTCCTCCCTTTTAGTGAAGCATAGCATAATGCAAACAGGAAAACAGAGAGAACCCTTAATGTTTCTTTTTGGTACATCACTCATGCATGGACTCTATGAGGAGAACAGCAGGGAACAGTGGGTAGGACACAAACTTCAGTCTGCACCTTCCCCCAAACCAGGCTGCCGGTGCCTGTCTTTTCACCTCTACTCCATGACCTTTGGCAGGGGCTTCAGCTCTAGGTCTGGGATTTCCCCTTCCATTGCGGGGAAGCACTGCTAAGAGTGACCGCTTCTGCTGGCCGTGGGCAGTAACAACCATAACTCTTTAACTGTCCTCAGCATGTCAGCCAGGACATCTCAGAGCCCATGAAGCCACTGGAGTAAAGGGGCGTGTGCAGAGGTGACTGATGGAAGTACTAAGCTTTCCGCATTCCAGCACCCTGGCAGCTAACAGCAGTCACTTCACTGAGGACATGAAAACAAGAACTGCAGTTAAATACCTGATGTGTCCCCCTTGCCTCAAGATCCCAAAGTACCCAACATCAGCCCTATGAAGATAAGTTTAGTCTGAGAGAAAAACATGGCTGTCAAAATCTTTGAGCATGTCCTTTCTGGTGTATCTGAGGCATTAAAAGTAATAATAATGAAATAAAGCCAGAAAACACATTTTAAAAGAAAGGAATCCATGAACAGACTTTTGGAGATGGACTAGATGCATTTTGCATTATGATAAAGCTATAAGCCTATGGGGGCCAGGGAGTGGAATGTGGTGGTTGAGTAAGAATGCCCCCCATAAGATCTTATATTTGAAAGCTTAGCTACCAGGGAGTGGAACTCTTCTAGGACTAGAAGGATTAGGTGGTGTGGCCTCCTTGGAGGAAGTGAGTCACTGGGAGGGGGGGGGGGGGGGGGGGGAGATGGGCTTTGAGCTTTAAAAAGCCCATGCAATGAATGCCTAGTGTCTTTCTCTGCCTGAAGATCAGGATGTAGCTCTCAACTACTTCTCCAGCACCATGCCTGCCTGCCTGCATGCATGCCACCATGCTCCCTGCCATGCTGACAATGGTCTAAACCTGCAACACTGTAAGCAAGTCCCCAATTAAATGCTTTCTTTTATAAGAGCTGGCTTGGTCATGGTGTCTCTTCACGGTAGTAGAACAGTGACTAAGACAATTACATATATGCATGCAAGAACAGTTAGTGAAAAAAGAGGTCATGAGTTTGAAAAAGAACAAGGAGCAGGTATATTGGAGAGTTTGGAGTGGGGGAGGGGAAAGGGGAAATGACAAAATTATATTATAATCTCAAAAAAGAAAAGAAACTATTTTTTCTAGAAAGGAAGGAAGAAGGCCTAGCTCCTTGTAAGGTTAGTAATTCAGTCTACCTTTGCTTCCAAGTTCTCCATGCCTTTCCCACCTCAGGTCATTATAATTAAATCCTAGGCCTCGGCATACTAAGCAAACACTCTGCCACCAAGTTATACCCCCAGTCCATGTCATTAGGTTAATTTTGTAACAGGTTGCCAGACATACCAGGAAATTAAGGTCCTCCTATCTTACTCTAGAGTAACTGGGATTACAGATGTGAACCACCCTCTCCACCAATTTTTTTTATCTCATAATGCACCATACTTGAGAATTTTTCACTCCCTCTACCTCTCTTTAATCAAAGATTTATTTATTTTGATGTGTGTGAGTATTCTGCCTGAATATATGCCTATACACCATGTGCCGCAGTACCAGCAGAAGCCAGAAGAGGGCGATGGATCCCCCGAAACTGAAGTCGTACAGACAGTTGTGAAATCACCCTGTCTGTGCTAGAAACCAAACCGGGGGCCTCTAGGACTATGCTCTTAACCACTGAGCCATCTTTCTGGGCCCATAATTTATTTATATTAATTATTATCTCAATTATCTTTTTTTTCTTAGTTTTTCAAGACAGGGTTTCTCTGTGCAACAGCTCTGGCTGTCCTAGAACTCACTTTGTTGACCAGGCTGGCCTCAAACTCACAGAGATCCACCTGCCTCTGCCTCCCGAGTGCTGGAATTAAAGGTGTGTGCCACCACCACCCAGCTCAATTATCTTTTCTATTGACAAAAGTTTTATATATTTTTGATCATATTCTTTTCCCTCTCAACTCCTCCCAGATCCTCCCCACTTTCCTATCTGTGATGGCCATTCTTGGTCAACTTGACTACATCTGGAATGAACTAAAACTCCAAAATGGGGCACTGAATCTGAAGTGAGAAGATTCACTCCTAATCTGAAACTCTGAGGTGGGAAAACCCACCCCTACTCTGGGCCACACCTTCTGCTGGAAGCCTACATAAGGACAGGGAAGAAGGAAAGTTTTGTTCTTCGTCAGCTGGCTTTCACCTCCCTGGCAAGCCAAGTCCATTTCTTCACTGGCATCAGAGTCTACTTCTTCAGGACTCCAGCATATACTGAAAACCAGCTGAGACACCCAGCCTCGTGGACTGAACAACAACTGGATTCTTGGACCTTCCATTCAGAGGTAGCCATTGTTGGATGACTACACCCTGTAGGTCATTCTAACAAATATATATAGAGAGAGATTCTGCAAGTTTTGTCACTCTAGAGAACCCTAACTAATGCACTATCCAAACAACTTTATGTTTTTTTCTCTCTCAGAAAACAAAAATCATTACAAAATAGTTCCATTATAATAACAGGTTTTAATGATAATAAACATTAAGGCTCAAGAGAGCTGAATGTCAGTCAGTCCCTCCTCCCCCTTTGTTTTCTACTTGATTGTCACCAGTCAGGGGCCTGAGAGCCTGAGAGACGGCTCCACACTTTAGAGCACTTGCTCTTGAAGAGGATGGAGGTTCAGTTCCCAGCATCCAGATGGTAGCTCACAACCACCTGCAACTCCAATTCAGGGGATCAAATGATTTCTTTTGACCTCCAGAGGGGCCAGGCATGTATATGGTGCTCACATATATCTGCAGGCAAAATAGCATACACACACACACACACACACACACACACTTAATAAAAATAAACCTTTTCTCCTTCAGCTTCTGTAGATTCTTAGTGTTCAGATATAATATGGAAAAAAACAAGGTGATTTTACTATCAGTCCACTAGTCTATTTTATTTGTTCTTAAGAACCAGAGTAAGACAACCTACAATCGGATGCTTAAAATGCTTCCAATAAACATCTTAGAAAATAGAAACTTCTACCTGTGTTGAACTGAAAACTAATTCAACTCATCGATACATTTTTATCCTCACAGTAAAAGATCTACTTCCTATTGATAAAGCAACATTCCCCTTGATAAAACCACCACCCTGTACAAAGAATAAGTACAGTAATGGTCACTGGCGAATGTATCATCACACAGAAGTGCCATGCCTCTACGTGTGTGTGTGTGTGTGTGTGTGTGTGTGTGTGTGTAGTGTCAAAAGGGGGACAAAGGGGAGGTGGGGAGGAGGAGATCACACAAATATACTTTAATTATTAAAAACAGAACAGGGAAAATAGCTAGAAAGGTATTTCTAGGTTTTATGCAGAATGGGGTGGGGGGACCCTTTTTCTTCTAAAGTGCATAGCTCACACACTGGCTTTCTTATAGAGAGGGCCCAGACAGTGATGCTTAAGTCACAGACACAGTAAAATTTGAAGATAAAATGAAGGACAACAAAAGCTCTTACTTTTACTTTTATACCCCTCAGAGGGGTAGGAATTTGTTATAATGAGTTAAAACCAAATACTAAGAGCTGGGAACTAGTTAAAGTAGGGAGCACTGTTAGGGCTACCCACATCTCTTTATAAACAATGTACCCCTCCCGTGAATATTTGCCAGTTTACAGTCCAATGAAACCGTAGGGCCCGTGCCACTGAGGTGAGCACAGAGCAGAGTGCCTATGGAAGGCGAGCAGAACAGTTATCCATTTCACCACCTTTCCCAGAAAACCAAACTGGGAAATGCTGCAAATAATGAACAAACCAAAGTTTTGTACCTTATTTTGTACCTTTTCCTTTGCAGATAAGAAAGGCAGAGGTCAGAGTCAGAATAGAGAAATCCATGAATCTTCTGAACAAGCTCAACAGACAGGAGCCAAGTCCTATTTCCTCGTCCCCTGCTCTCTCCATAAAATAAGCTGTTTCTTACCTGATCACAGATCAGCTCCCATTTTTTCTCATTGTCATACTGCCGCAGTAACCTGGCTTTGTCAGGAGGTAGGTTCATAGCATTCTGTGAAAAGAAAAGTAAAAAGATCTGTTATAAACCACAGTGCCTCACAGGTAGAAAAAAATCACTGTGGTCCTTTCAGGACAGCATTTCAGTGCCTAGCACATGATTCAACCAAGACACCTGTAGAAGTCCTTCCCAACCCCTTAGCGTCTCATTTATAGATAAGTGAACCACTCACTTCCATATTCAGTGGATGAAAGAACGGAGTGAAGAAAGGAGTGGCCTGCTTTAAAACAACCAGACACGCATTTCAGCAAAAGTGACTCTGTCCATTCATTTCATGGCTGCCTCCCTTTGTGATCAATTAAAAGGTCAGAGCTGGCTTGACAGAAAGTATGGTTCCAGTGCAGACATAAAGACAGCAAAAGAAAACTTAATAGCCAGAGTCACTGAAAGGAAATGTCCTTTGTGCCAGGTGACAGTAGAGATGCTTTCTACGTAAGCCTGGCCTCCTGAGCTCATCCCCAGAAACCACATAAAAGTGAGGAGAGAACAAAATAAAAGGCAGATAAATAAATAACAAGAGTTGTCTTCTGTGCCCTGTATGAAAAGATGGCACTCCTTTGGGGCTTGCTAATACCTGACAATTAATTCAGCCTTTAACTGTGCTTGCATATGAAGTTGAGCTTGCAGTCAGTAATGGACAACAAGATATTTAGACATCAGTATCACACAAGTCCCTGCTGCTACCACAACACACATTCTGCAGAGCTGAACATGAACCTGCCTGGATACAGGCATGTCCCATATAACCAATCATACATATTATCAAGATCCTAAGCAACAGGACTGAGAGCCCTGGAAGCAATTCAGATCAGTCTGTGTCCTCTCTAAAGTCCCCACGTTCTAAACAGCTGGAGTAAGTACCTGATTAAATGTCTATTGACCACCCTGTCTCAAGCTCAGCACATTAGAGTCATCCTGTTGAAACAATGTGGCTCCTTGTCTAGACCAACACCTAGGAAGACAGATACAAAAGTCTTAACCTGTCAATGCTCAGATCCCCAACTCTCTGAAGGACTCAGCCTGGTATATCATGCCGCAGGGTAAACAGAATTTAACAAAGGTAGAAGTGGGCAAACTATACTGACTTAACGGCAGGAAACCACCATGTGATGACTTGATGGGTTTAACCCAAGTATTCCCCTTCAACTTGGCCTGGCATTCATATTGATGTTCCTTAAATGTATATCTACCATCTACTTATCTGAACCTAAGCCATCAGATTGGAAGGCTAGTTACCTGCTTTTAGGTTCATCTCTTTTAATGTTTTGATTACTTCTGTGCTGACAATGTATTCAGAAGAACTGCAGACTCTCAAGTTTGGGGTGATACTACTAAAGCTTCTTAAATATTGAAATACTTAAAATGGAGGGAAGTAGTCTCATGTGACACAGCTCCTTAGAGAAGCTACTTAAAATAGACTGAAAAGGTATCTAATTGCATTTATGACTCTGTACAGATAAAGTTAAACCACCAACTCTGGGATACAGTGAGGAATTTCATATATATCTTTCTTTGGGGGAGGGGCTCAAGGCTATTTACTGTTAAATAAACAGTCATGTTCATTGCTTATTTGTACCCTGGAGATAAATATTTTCCTCTTAAACCAGTTCCTGACCCTCAGATCAGCACCCCTGGGTATGATTATATGCAGCACAAGATTGCAGGATAAGTTAAATGAGTTTTCCCCTCACGTTCTCATTCATCTCCAGAGACACGAAGGAAGTTTTTAAATGCCTGAACTACAGTGTCCAAAGCAGTGTATTGGGAATGATGCATGTCTAATCTCAATCTTCCAGGCATAAGCATGTGAGGTTGATATGGTTTTCCCCAGTTATACAGGGAAACAGGCCTGGGCAGACTTGGTTAGCTTGCTCTCAGCTCCATAGATTCATAGGAACAAACCCTGTTAAATTCCCAGGATATGTTCTACCAGTTCTAACCAAATTCGTTTTGCAGAAAAGTAAATACCAAGTTACTTAAAACACTGTGTCAGAGCTCTGCTCAGCACTCGTGTGAACAGTCAGCAATCATAATGGTGGGCCTTGTTGGTACAAAAAGACAGGTTAAGGCCCTGCTTCTAACTAACTTTTATTTTGCTGAAGCAGTCTTCTGTTTGACGAATGTTTATGAAGTATATTCTCTGGCAAGTCTTCATAGAGGTTAGCAGAGGGCAGTTTGGATTAAGAGTGAGGAAACAGCTCTGGGGAAAGGGGGGGGATAATGAAAATTTAAACACACGTGGAGGTCAGACACGTGAAGAGTGGGCCAAAGCCTGCGGAGCAGAGCTAACGGAACGAAGGCTGTGAGACAGGGTGTGCGGCACAGTCAAAGAGCTCCAAAGTATCCAGTGTGGCCAGAGAGAGACTACGAGGGAAGGAGAAAAGAAGAGATCGGGAGTCAAAGCCATACCATTCCCAAAAATGCCACTCAAAGTCAGTAGTAACTGCACTTCTATGTAAAGAACAACACGAAGCCTGCAATTACATGTATGTCTGTGCATGGCATGCATGTAGTGCCCGTGGAGGCCAGAAGAGGGCATCAGATCCCCTAGAACTAGAGTTGCAGTTGTTTGTGAGTCTCCACGTGGATGCTGGGAATGCAACCTGGGACCTCTGAAGAGCAGTCAGTGCTCTTAATGGCTGAGCCATCTCTACAGCCCCTCAAATGCTTTTAAACAAGAAAATAAAAGGGCAAGTTGCTTTGCAACGTTGCTGCAAGGACTATATAAAGAAACCATTAGGAATAGCAAATATGGAGGCAGAGTGGCAGCAACACATGAGTGATGGTCATCACCAAAGAACAAAAGTGTACTGAGGAGGGAGCTGTGGAGCTGAGCTCAGCTGGTAAAGTGTTTGCTGTATACAAGTGTGAGGACCACAGTTCAGATTTCCAGAACCCAGGTCAAAGTCATGTGGGTAGGGCAGTGTCCATTAATTCCAGCACCCAGGAAGAAATGGGTAAAGCAGCTCTCTGTTAATCCCAGAACATAGGATGGAGAGTCAATGAGCAAGGTGGCTAGCCAGATTAGCCAAACATCAAGTCCCAAGTTTAAAGAGATTCTGTCTCAGTATATAAGATGGAGAGCAATCAAAAAAAGGCACCCAGTGTCAAGATCAGACAACCACATGCATTGGATATGAGTGCATACACACCCACTCAAAAATGAATGCACATACTTACCACACACACATGCAAACAACAGAGGGAATGTGGCTATGAGAGAAAAGTTCAATGAAGCCTGACTGACAGACTTAAGGATATCAAAAGGCAGTGCCTTAACTTTTGCTCAAGGTGTATGCTAATCCATGGAATGGTGGCGCACACAGAGAAGGCAACATCCGTGTGGAGGAAGTGATTTTTAAAAAAAAAGGTTTCTAAACGTCCCTGTCTAGATCTGAGAACTTAGGAGAAAACCAATAGAACAGCCAAAGCAGACAGACAGATCCACGATTTCTGGAGGTTGGATAAAAGGTCTGCCTTGCTCTGAATGAGAAGAGCCTCATGACTGTTTTCAACCTCAAAGACTAGTTATTGTAAGGAACAGTATCTCCAAATCAAAGTTAAAACTACAGGGAAACAATGTAATTATAATCTCAAAAAATAATATAAGTGATTTAAAAACTTAAAACTACACTTGCTAATCATTCACCAAGCATCTGAAATACCTGCCACATCCACCCGTGCTCAGGCCTCTGAAATGCTCGGGCACAGAGTACAGCTGAGTAATTCCACTGGGATCAGGAGGAAGCCACCTAATTTAGAATCAGACACTCCACAGAAACTGGTAATAACTACTCTAAAATTTCTGTAGAGTGAATTCATCCTGCTTATACTATACAGGACAGGACTCTAAGGTCCAACCTAAATGTTTGTGCAAATAACTCACAAAACACTGTGTCTAGCCAGGCGGTGGTGGCACACGCCTTTAATCCCAGCACTCAGGAGGCAAAGGCAGGTGGATCTCTCTGAGTTCGAGGACAACCTGGTCTACAAAGTGAATTCCATGACAGCCAAGGCTACACAGAGAAACCCTGTCTGAAAAAATATATATATATATTGTTTCTATCCCCACATCCTTTTGATATACATGTAAGTGTATCACGCTTAGATTCGGCTGGATGTGTACATCAATTTCCAGGTTTCCTTACAGTAACAGCTCTGCCTCACGCAGATGTGGTGATGCCTGAGATACAAAGCTGTTTTCCTTCCCTTATCCATCAGCCCATCCAGAAATGACTGGGCTCTAACTAGGTACCAGAACATCTGCACTGCGGACATCTGAGCAAATGCAATCATGAAATTGCAGTGTGCAAGTACCTGCCAGAGGGTTGAAAAGCCCAGTGGATGTTGATTACCTGTGTCCTAGATGGTGTGAGTTCATCATTTGAGTGTTCCTTCTGAGGGGAAGGCCCTTTCCTTCAACTCTGAATAACCAGCTTGGACACTGATCATCATTAGAACCACTGCCCAGCTACTACAAGAAGATGCTCTGCTTGTACTCCGGCAACAATACATTTATGTCTATGACAATTTTTGATAGGAGAATTCCCACTGAGTTACACCTGGCCTGGCTCCGGAGTGTAGCACCTAGCCTTAATCCATCATTTGTTTCTCAGTTACCTTTTGTTTCTCTTGTTGCCCTCTGTGTGAATCTTGTCTGGGAGTTTCCCAAGGGTACAAAGCTTATGCAAAACTTGTTTTGAAAAAATCCAGCAAGCGATGATATTCCTTGATTGAGTATTTGCATTTGGCATTGGCCCTTTGGAGAACCAGTCAGCTGTTTTGAAGATATGGAAATCAACTTGCTAAAAATGTAAATATGGAGAACAATAAAAATGCCCTAGGCTAAAGAAAGATGTCTCTCTCAGTCCAGTCCGCAAAGAGGCTGAGTCCCCCTGCAGCTGAAAGGCTAGAGACATCCTTAAGATGCACTCTGTCTTCTTCCCACAGACCCGCATGAACCCACACTAGTACAACAGCAAAAAAAAATTTAT